GAACCCTCACCACCCTCCAGGCCTTCAGCAAAGCCCTTAAAACCTGGCTGTTCCGACAGGCCTGGGGCTAAAGAGCTTTTGCCCCCCTTCTCGAATGGTATGACTGTTGTTATGTTCGTCTTTTTTATTCCCTGTCTGTACCCCCTTCCCTGATTTGAATTGTGAGCCGCCCTGAGTCCCCTTCGGGGAAAAGGGCAGCATATAAATGTAATAAATCCAATCCAATCCAAAGATTCCAAGCAGCCTTTGAAATCAGTAAGGAGAACCAAGATTGGAAACTGCAGAAAATGAGGAAAGAAATGGGAAGCATGCCCTCCTGTCTCACCGTACACACTCCATTAAAAAAAACCAAGGAAAGGAAGGGTACCTTTAAATGCATTAAGAGTTTGCTAGCAAAACAGCTTCAACTGATGCAAGAGATGCCCTTAGGCGTGTCTTATTTGAGTGAGGGGAGAAAGAGCTGACACTGTAAGGTCAAGGCATCAGGAATGATGCAGATCATTTATCATTTTCTTTAAACAGTTAAAAAAAACTGTACTGGAAATTATATTTTCCAATTATATATTCCAATCATATTTTGCCTCCAGAAATAAAAAATAATAATGATAATTCTCCTATTGCTTTGCCAATCTGACTGCAGCATGGTTGCCATCCCTGAAAGGACAAGGACAAGAAACAATGGATAGAAACTAATCAAGAAGAGAACCTGGAATTAAGGAGAAAATTCCTAACTGTGAGGACAATTAACCAATGGAACAGAAGTTGCCTTCAGAGGTTGTGAATGCCCCGACACTGGAAGTCTTTAAGAAGATGTTGGATAGCCAATTTGTCTGAAATGGTATAGGGTCTCCTGTTTGTGCAGGGGGCTGGACTAGAAGACCTCCAAGGTCCCTTCCAACTCTATTCTGTTCTAAATTCTAAAATCTCTGGAAATACCAGGTTTCAAAAGACAATTTCTCTCCCTTGAGTCAGAAGGAAATCTGTGCTTTCTCTGAACTGCCCTTGATCCTACCTACATGGCCTAAGCCCCCTGTCTCCAGTAGGGCTCCTCTGACCCACTTTCAAGCCCCCTTCAAATCTCAGGCATCTTTGAAGTTTCCCTTTTCTTCCTCCACCCACCCACCCACTTCGATTTCATTCCTTTGCAAGAAATTCCAGGTTGAAGCGAAGACAACCTGGCCTGGATTTAAGGCATCCGGAGTTTTAGGGGACAAACCCCCTCACCCCCCCCAAAAAAAGATGCAAATGTTTTTTGGGGGGGAATGTGGGGCTGGGGGAAGCAATTGCACGAGCTCCATCCAAGCCTACACACCACACACAGATCTAGAAATCCAGGCCCAACCTTTGGTAGAGAAAGCCAGCAGAGTATGGAGGGCATCTGGGATTGAACTCTTCTTCCTTTTGCTTGGCACCGAAAAGGTCCAGGGAAGCAAAGCGCAAGAGGCCTTCCGGGAGACTTTACCTGCTTCAGCGTTGAGAAAGCCTCCAAATTAAACCTTAAACTGTCAACCCTGGACCTCACCCCATTCCTAAGAGGTCTGCAAGGGGGCATGCATTGCATATCATCCCTGTCCTACTGTCCCCATCTATTTGTACTCATTTCTTATGTATATACATATACCTGCTTATACTTAATATGTCTGTATCCTTACGATTTATATTGATATTGTTTCCTGATTGCTTATTTGTACCCTATGACTATCATTAAGTGCTGTACCTTATGTATCTT